GGGAACACACCCCAGTGTATGGGGTGTGTGTGTGTGTGTGTGTGTGTGTGTGTGTGTGTGTGTGTGTGTGTGTCTGCACTTGGGCGTGTGGTTTTTGCAGAAGGGGTTAGGAATGACAGAGCAGTGTCTTTGTTCAATGGGCATATAAGGCAGATGAACAAACATCTGCAAATATTGATTTCCGTTAACGCAACATGAAACTCCAAGGCATTTATACATACAATTCATATAAAATTTAAATCAATGGGTCTGGACTGAGGCTTTGTGATGGCTCTGGCCTTTGATCCCCTGCGAAGACCAGGGATGATTTCAGGACCCCACGGCAGCCTGAGGTCAGTGGAAAACAGGCAAGAGCATCAACAGTTTAGGCTTCAGTAAGTGAAGAGCTCAGGAAAGAACTCCTGGAGGGCCAGGTCCCATGGGCTGGTTTGATTTTATTGTTTTTTGGAAGGGATGGGGAAAGAAATGGGAGTGGACAGGATTTTTGTCTTTGGGTTGGTAGGTTACTGCCAGATGAGGGACAGGTTACTGCCAGGTGAGGGACACAAGGAAAACCTGTGGGCCTCAGAGGCACAGACACCAGGGAAGAATGTGGTTGTCAGGTAATTGGTCCAAGTCCTACCTAGATACATTCCGTGACTCAGGAGAGGTCTCCTCCACAGCCTGGAACCGGTCTCTGGAGAGCAGTCTCCAGGCTTGAACAGGATGCCCAGCAGCGGGGATGTGCGCAGCTTTCAAGCCATCACCCATCCCACAGTGTGCCAAGCAGTCCCTCCATCGTCGCCCCCACGTGCAGCCCACCAGCCCCTCTGCCACCCATCACACTTGTTCGTCAGCGGTTGAGAAGGCTGGTGTCTGTGCCAGGTGGTACACTTTGTTGTTGTAGAGGGCACCCGCATGGTCGTGTACCAGGTGCTCCACCAGGACCACCAGCTCCTGCACCAGGGCCTCCTGCTCCCTGCCCACTGCCCTGTTGTCAAAGAAACACACTCAGCCCCCACACTCAGCCACCAGAGCCCGCAGAGCATGGTTGTCAGTGTGGCACATGAAATCCTGCAGAGTCCTCACCCAGGTCCTCCTTGTGCATGAACAGCACAATGGTGCGAGCGACCATGCTGTCCCCAAACAGGACCTTGAGCATGCTCATGGCCTGCTGATCCTGTGCAGTGAAGCCACACAGCTGAGTCACCAGGAGCAGTGCGTAGGGCCCAGGCATTGACAGCAGGTAGCAGCGGGTTCGCTCCTGGCCCTCCAGGTCTGTCTTGGGTCTTAGGGAGCTAAAAAGGTCTGGGGTGTCCATGACTTCCATGTGCCACCTGTCCCACCTACAACTCCCCTCCTCACAGGTTCTGATCACTGAAGTGGCTGTGAGTCTGGAGAGGAAGCACCTGTGGCCCAGGATGCTGTTCCCAGTCGTGCTCTTCCCAGGCCCTGTCTTCCCCACCAGGATGAGCCTCAGCTGGGGCTTCTGCAGGGCCTGTGTGGTGTCTCTCGAACCTGGAGGACAAGTGATCTGTGAGCTTCCAAATCTTAAAGCAACATACCCCGGTTACCTGGATCCCCTGAGGCCTTTGAACAAGAACAACAGTGTCTCAACTCTGCTTTCCCACCAAAGCCTTACTGAGGTCATTGGTCAGAGCTTTCTGAACTCCAGGGGATCTTCAGCACCTATTCCTGTCCTCTCTGGTTTCACCACA